CTGTCCTGCGTCCTCCCCCAGCACCCCGTGGGTATCTCTGCAATGCCACCACACAGGACGGCTCTTATTATGTGTGTGGCCCCATTAGGCATGTGCTAGGGCTCAACATTTTTTTTTGGAATGAAAGTGTCTATTAAACACCTGTCATGTGCTAGACTCGGGCTCAGACTTTGTCCACTGTGATGCCGAGGCACCAGCACCATAGGTGTGACAGTGAGCAAGCTCCGAATCGGGGCCCCTTGTCTGGGTCCTGGGGGAACCTGCTTCCTGGAAGACATAGCTGGGTCCCGCTCCCTCTGGAGTCAGGGCCTCCCGTTCGGCCCAGGTAGGCAGGTTGGAGCTCCTGCCCTGGGGGCTGCAAGGGGGTGTCTGGGTGAGTGGATGTGGGAAGCCGCTCTGCTGTCCTGAGGTGGGCATGCAGGTCTCTGCGCCGAGGACGGGAGCCCTGCGAAATTCCCAAGCTGGTCTGCATCCATAGCCCAGCTTCAGATACACTTTCAAGAAGATAGAAAACAACAGACTTCCCACCTCTAGCTCCACAGAGGATGCCAGGCAAGAGGCCTGGAGCAGAGGTGCTCTCCAAAAATGCAAGCTCGTAATTCCCCCCACGAGCATCAGACTGCACAATTTACAGGCACTGACAAATTTCACCATTTAACAGCAGCCATTAAAGACAGATTCTGGGTGGGTGGGAAGAGATGCCAGTTTATATCAAGGCTTGATTGCTCAGCACTCGGAGTCCCCAAGCTAATACATCAAATTTAATTTTTGAAAACAAGAGCCCCACCAAGATAAACTTTCACTAATTAACAAAACCTGATTTTTTTTTTTCCAAGATGCATTCCAATCTCCCGTCACTACCGTAGCAGCCACGGAATGTTCAACGTGGGGAAAGGGAATGGCACGGGAAAAAGCTGGCTGCAGAGCCTTTGCAACGGCTCCCCGGGAACGGAAACTCATCTCGATAAATCACAGTGGCTCTTTGCCATCAGGAGCCTTCTCCTTTCAGATCTTATGGCCAAGAGAAGTACCGGCCATATGTTCACACCATTTGGTGAAAAACACACGGAACCAACAACACAAGCATGGCACTTATGGGTGATTTTTTAAAAAATCGTGCCAAGTGGATTCATCCTAAACATGTGAGATATACCACGTCACTCCCTTGCCATTAGGTCTATTAGGGTTTGTTTATTTTTATTTTCATGGTTCCATGGGCACAAATAACCTCTTGCATGGGACCAGCATTTTTAGAAGTCATGAACCAAATATAAGCAACGGCATCCTATGTCCTTGTCACTTGTCATTCCTCAGGTGTCCTCTTCTAAATCACAGTGAGTGAATAAAAAGCAAGAAAGGAAGATACTATAAAATCAGAACCCTAAGGGTTGTCCACTAGGATGTCAGCGGTCGTTCATCAGGCAGAATGCTCCAGTAGCCCTGGCCAGCAGAGCTTCCAGGACGAGAGTGACTTGGTGCCTGTCGGTGGCATGCCGTTCCTAGTGATGGGCCCCCCAGGATGACTAGACTCAGCCGTGAACACAGCTAGGGCTTGGTTGTTGCTGAACTCTTAATTTCTCAGAGTATCACGGGCCCCAAGTACTTTGTTGTGAAGAAATTTAAATTCCAGTGAAGGTTTTGTGGTGTATTTGAAGTTTCTTGTGGGGAAATAATTTGTCTGGCATGCCTTGGGAATCAGGGTCTTGGTAGACTGCCTGTGTCCACTAGGGACTCAAGCCCACACTGTTCACCCTTTGTACACACTGCGTGGCTTAGAATGAGAAGGGAGACTGAGGAAGGCTGTAGGCCTGAGGGGTGCGCCGTGAGCTGCTTGCCCTGGGGCTGGAACCCAGGGCCTCACACAGGCTTGGCAAGTGCTCTGCACTGAGCTGCACCCTCAGCTCCAATAATCTTTCTCAACACAAAACACATGGGTGAAGGGCTTGAAGATTATAAAGGCAATAATGAGAGGAGACCCTTGGAAGGCCAGAACATTGTCTGGATTCTAATTTTGGTTTGATTTACATTGACATTTTAATAGAGGTGCAGATATATAGTGAGCATGTGACATTACAACTAAGCTCTTCCTCTGATTTGTGGTCACTATATACCATTGGAAGCCCCTGGTCTCCTCTGGGGTTTGTGACAGGCTGTGGGCACATACATATTCTGGTCAGTTCGGGGCCAGCTCAGCACATGACTTGGTATGCAGGCCTCTGCAACTCTTTTTGAATGGTGGACAGGACAGGGTTCTGTACCAAGGCTTCTGTGGTGAACAACTAGAAGCTATGCTACTCCTTGAAGTGCAAAAAAAAGTGATCACCACTTACCAGGAGGCATTGGTGTGGATGCTATGGTTGTTGCTTTTGGAAGTATGCGTTTGGTGAAGGATATCTTTAAGGAGCTGTATCTATCTTATAGTTCCTCGATTCTTTGGGAAAACGTGGTTTGTAGAATATTCAGATCCCAGGCCAGCTAAGAGCCAACCTTGGGTGGAAGAGCAAAGCTCAGTCTCCACTCCTTCCTTGACCTTATGCTTGCGCTCAAACAGAGAGGCCTGGACTCAACTCTGCAGTTCTGGAACTATGGTGCCTCTCAGCTCAGTGTGAAGATGGGCACCTTGTTTCTAGGCAAGCTCTCTGCTGTGTGTATCAGAGGAAAAGGAGTATGACGTCAAACATCGTGACCAGTCACTGTCGTATTTGACCTTTCCTGGGGGGGGGGGCAGCACAAACTTACTGCATGATTGAATTTCAGACTAGCTTCCCCCAGGTATATCAAAAAGGGGGGGGGGGGTCTGCCCCGTCCCTGGATGTCTGACATCCCAAACTGACATTCAATAAAAAAGCATCAGAATCACCCTTGGCACTGAACACAGGTGAGCAACAGGCTAGGCATGGCATTCCCCAGAACACCCCAAATGACAAAGCTCACGATATTCTCTCAGGCCTTACTTTTAAAACATGCAAAACACGTTAGAGCAGCAGACAAAGGAACCATGTGTGTGTAAGTACATTAGGACTAACGCACGCTCAGTAATTGTAAGGCTTTTACCTGTACTGTCTCATTTAATCTTGTCAATCCTGTGAGGTGGGGGTTAGACCATTGCAGGCGAGGAAACAGGTTCAAGAATTTAAATACCTTGCTCAAGGTCACAGTGACACTCTTCTTCAGTGAGGACATCTTTCACTTTGAGAAATGAATGCAAGGAACGTGGACATTTAGGGGGAAAGTCTGACATGCTCTCTGGCTAGCCAGTGTTGTCCAAAGCTCTGCAGCATGGTTATAAGAATTATATATATTTTAAAAAAAATGTTCCAGGCTACTTAAGTCAGGAGATGTTTGGGGTTAGCGAGCCTCCTGCCCGCAGGCCACTTTCCTCTCCAGTGTGGTACGATGGGTTATGGAGTGCCCTCAGGACAGGACACAGGGTTGTTTTGAGATCTCTTTTGTTTCCTAGAATGACTGGAGAAAGCTGGGGTAAGCCTTCAAGTGCCTGAAGTCAGATTGGAGAAAAAGTCGCATTTGTTCATACATGTGATGATCTCCCCCACTCCCGACTCACTCTCCAAGTTCCCATTTTTAAACCCGGTAGGGAGTTACATGGGAAGTTGGAGCCTGGCATTGCAGAGGGCTGTGCACTTGATGCAGAGGCTCCAGAGCTTTGTATGGGGGACTGCTGTTTCTCCCTCCACTGTCAAACTCCTAGGCCCCTTAGGGGAGACTGAGCAGGGAACTTTCAGAGCTGGCAGGGGCCTCAGAGTCATCTGCAGGGCACACAGGGAGGTCTCCAGGCCACCCTGTGTGTCCAACAGCAAAACCCGTTATCAATGCCAAAGTGCAGCGGATATTGTTTTGGAAGCAAACTGCATTGAGCAGACTTGTACATTTCTATGACTGTCTGATGTGAAAGATGGAAATGCAGTTAAACCAAGGCCATTATCCACTGGTGACTCCTGAGAGCCTGGACAGAGAAGGGCACCTGGTATGTGCTCAGTACCTCTGCTGAATTAATGAATGACGTGTGGCCTTAGCAGATGTACACTACCAGAAATATTTACTAGTTTTGAGAAACTTGCCTAAGCATTAAGTTAAAGTTTACTTCCAAGTTCTCCTGGGTGCGCCAGGGGCACAGGGTGATGGCCCCAGGCACTGGGCTCCCAGAAAGAGACCTCAGCCCACCCAAAAGCAATGGGTTGTCTGGCCTCCATTGTGGCTCATTTGTAATGCTTTCTTCATTCCTCATAGGGGAACAGAAAGGGGAACTGCCACATGTCATCTGAGAGGAGACGAAAAACTTTCGGCAGTTTTGGAAAGGGAGGCTTTCGCAGTGGAAGCAGCATGCCTTGTATTAGAGCAGCAGAGTTCATGCTGTGTCAACTGCCCCCTCCACTAGGAAAAAAGCATTCTCCACTACGATTTTTAAAGTTTACAATCTTCAGACAGGCCACACTCATCAGTAAAAACCGATTCTGCTTCCTTCTCAAACCAAACACTCCAAGTAGCTATTTCTGAGCAGATGCCACCCCATAGTATCATTTATGTGACATTAAAAAAATTCACTCAAATACCAACAGATTCAACTTTATAGCACCATTCCAAAATACTAAACTTTCTTTGCACCTTTATTTTTATCTTTTTTTTTTTTTGGTACACATTTAAAGTATGGGCATCCTGTAAGTTTCTGAAAAGCCTCATAGAAAAAAAAAAACAACTAATTTTTAGGACAAAGCAATAACTCAGTTTATAGGCAAGATGATTTCAAGCAGGCTGCAATTCTTCATGGGCTTCTGTGAGTCTTGATTCTGGGGTGAGAGTGGAGAAAGGATGCTAGAATCTTCCTGGAGGAGCCTAGAGACTGCGCTGCATGTTGGCCTGTGCCCACAAGCTGCTCAATGGTCGGACTCTGGGCACTGGCTACAACTCAAAGCACAACATTCATAGTCTATGATCTTACTCTTCTGATTGACTAGAGAATTGGGACATTAGA